GCGTACCTCAGCAAGAGGTATTCTGGCCAGGGATGTATAGACACAGCGGACCTCAGTAAGAGGTATTCTGGCCAGGGATGTATAGACACAGAAAACCTTAGTAAGAGGTATTCTGGCCAGGGATGTATAGACACAGCGGACCTTAGTAAGAGGTATTCTGGCCAGGGATGTATAGACACAGCGTACCTCAGCAAGAGGTATTCTGGCCAGGGATGTATAGACACAGCGGACCTTAGTAAGAGGTATTCTGGCCAGGGATGTATAGACACAGAAGACCTTAGTAAGAGGTATTCTGGCCAGGGATGTATAGACACAGCGGACCTTAGTAAGAGGTATTCTGGCCAGGGATGTATAGACACAGCGGACCTTAGTACCAGGTATTCTGGCCAGGGATGTATAGACACAGCGGACCTTAGTACCAGGTATTCTGGCCAGGGATGTATAGTAAGGTCTGGCGTTATTGTCAGTCGTGTGACATATGTCAACGCACAGTTTACAAGGTAAGGTACAGAGAGTACCATTGGAGCGAATGCCACTCAAAGATGAGCCATTGTCACAATTAACGTTTAAACATTGTTTCATATATTTTAACACACACCTTTTCGCTATGTTAATAACATATTTAAATACCGTAACTGTGTTCCATAGTATTTTATCTGTTCAGTAAAATTTACTTGGCGGGTGTTAAATCCCGTGCTGTTAAATGGTCAGTTTTGGTGTAGCAAATGAGTAAAGCAGACGTTCTTCACTTGCTCTAGTATTAGTTACACAGTAGTATTCTACAAAGAATTTGACCAGACTTTACATCTCTTCCGAGGTAAGTTTATTTTATTAATTAAAAAGGTTCTATCTTATACAGTTTCCTGAAATGGCCAAGGACCTTAGTTTGTAACTTTGTTGTAAATTACGTGATTGAGTAATGTGTGAATTGCTATCATTTCAAGTACTGGTAGTATGCTAAAAGTATACGAGTATATTATAGTCTTATAGTATTCAGTTGCTACAATGTATGTTGTAGAGTACGTGTTTATTGTACACAAATATTTCGTTTAAATATTGTGTGGTGTTTTGCAGTAAAATGCAGTATGCAGTAAAATGCTTTAGTGTATGCAGGAAAATACAGAATGCAGTAAAATGCAAAGTATATAGTTAATGTATTTGATATGCATGAGCACGAATCAAGGTAGTATTTACAATTGTTATAATATGTGAATTTACAATGATTTTGTAGATCCCAAATTGGTCCAGGGAGCCATTCCACCCAAATAACATTCCAACCAAGAATTTGTACATATGTATTTAGCCTTGAATAAACGTGAAATATTTAAAGAACTGTTCTAGTATTATTTTGTGTGGCGACCTATCGGCCCGCCTGCGACATTTGGTGTCACAAGTGGGATCCGCCCAGGAAGATCCACCCAAGGCGATCAACCCAGGGAAACCAACCCAGTGAGATCAACCTAGGGAAATCCAGGAATTTCGATCCAGGGATATTGATAGGCTACCGCCATTTAAAGATACAGATCCCAGGATTCCAATGAAAGTGTGATGATCCTATGATGTAGATTCAACAACTTGTCTTATTACAGCAAATACCAACGAGGAGACGCCCACGAGACAATCCACTGGATACAGACCCGTCTATAGGATTGGACAACAGGATACAGACAGGGAAAATTATAACTGACTTTACCAGGAATTCTTGAACTTTTTAATTATAAGTAAAACTGACACACATAATAACTGAAACTCTATTTATCTCAAACAGATTGTAATTTCAGAAGTATTTATTCTGATATAAGTAAATTGCATTTTATTTCTCATTTTTTTTATTAACTGATGAACATTCGTGCTTTTCCATGTTGCATAGTATCAATTGTTTCATTGAAATTGCTGTAATTGTAGGACAAGATCATTGGTTATTTGGGATCCAGAAATTGAATTGTTCTTAAAAGCTGATTGCCAAGCTACTTTGGAGTGTGTTTTGAGACTGGTCATGGTAATGTAGTAGATCAATAAAATTCATTAACAATTGTGTCACCCAAACTCAACAGTTCACTATTGTGTCTTGTTGTAGTATCTCAAACATGTGTACAGAGTAGTGAGTTAGTAAAAACATTTTGTTGTGATTTGACATTTTTGTTAAAAATGGAGTCGTTAGATGATTTGATTTCTGCTTGAGAAAGACTAGGCTATAAAGACGATAGTTTACGCAAATATGTGAGTGATCAACGAGCTTTGCAGCGTGAAGAAAGAACAGCAGTTCCTCAAAAGGAGAAAGATGAACGTGAGTACCAACTACAATTGGAGCGTATGTACAATGACCTTAAGCTGAAACAGATGGCTGATGAACATGAGATGGAAATGGCAACGAAGGGCAACATATCAGTGATTGAGGTAAGAGTAACTCAGTCAAACCAAGTACCCCTAAAATTCCATCATTTGAAGAGAACAGAGATGAGATGGATAGCTATCTGCGAAGATCTGAAAGGTATGCAATAGCTATGAAATGGGAAAAATCTCTTTGGTCAACTCATTTGAGTGTTTTACTTAAAGGTCGTGCTTTATAGAGGTTTATGCTTTACTGTCAAAGTCAAAAGCAGATAATTATGATGAGCTCAAAGCAGCGTTAATCCGGAGATATGACATGACGGAAGAAGGTTTCAAAAGAAAGTTTCGTTCTTGTTGTCCCGAAAATAAGTTTACTGTCAGATTAGGTACTTCCCTCACTCGTTGGATAGAAATGTCTAAGATTTCTACGACTTTTGATGATCTCTTTGATCTTATAATTCGTGATCAGTTCTTACATGTGTGCAATTACGATTTGTTGGTGTTTCTTAAACAGAACGTCCCAAAGACGGCAAATGAATTATGCATTCAAGCAGACCAATTTCGAGAGGGGAGAAACACAAGTGCTTCAAATCTATTTTCAAAGGTTAATAAGAAACCTACGGAAGTACAGGTTAGTAAGACGCAAGGTAAACCTAAAGTTCTACAGCGACGACCCCAAAACCAGAAGTCTTCGTTCCAGTGACAGAAAGAAAATGTTAAAATTGTTGTAAGCAGGGCCATATAGCCATATATCCATAGGTAAGACTTCAGGCGCGCTAGTACATAAAGATGAGCGCAGAGACGTTGACAAAACACCAGAGAATTGTTCTGCATTTGTTTGTAGTGAGAACTCGGTTCTCTACTCTCTGTATGTGACAATTGAACCATTTTAACTTCGGCATGTCACAGCACTAAGAAACCTATGCCACTATCTGTAATATGTGGATGGTCAACCAGTCACACTTCTTCGAGATTCTGGTTGTCAAAATTTTGTGCTAAGGAGAAGCTTGGTGAAATATGAAAGTTTAACAGGTAAAAGTGAAACTTGTATTTTAGCAGATAATACCAAGAGAGTTGTGCCACTTGCAAAGGTGTATTGTATAGATTCTCCATATGTGACAGGTGAATTTGAGGTTTGGTGTATGGAAACCCTGTTTTTGATTTAATTATTGGAGAGGTACCGTACACGACGCAAGGAAACCCCATGATCCCGACCCAGAGTGGAGACCAAAGACTGTCTAAGCAGTGGAGACTCGACAGCAAGCAAGAGAAAAGAAGAAATCTTACCCAGTTCTCAGAGTTCAAGATATAGTCAAGGACGATATCAAACCTGAGGATATACAGCGTGAACAACAAGAGGATCCATCCTTTGAAACATCACTTCGGAATGCGAAAGAAGGTCGAATATCGCGCAATGGGAAGGTAAGATGGTTAGAGAAGAAAGGACTTTTGTACAGGGAGTATCAAACATCGGAAAAGGAAAGAGGTAAGACTTTTTCAAAGCTCATAGTACCTTCTAAATTTCGAACGATTGTTATGAAGCTAGCACATGAATCAGTTATGTCAGGTCATCTAGCAACAGGTAGGACTATATCCAGAATTATGTCAGAATTCTTTTTGCCTGGTATGCAATCTTAAATTAAGCGGTTCTGTCAATCATGTGATACGTGCCAGAAAACTGTTTCAAAAGGAAAGGTGAGCAAAGTCCCGCTGGACAGAATGCCTCTGATAGATGTACCATACCAATATAATACAAACATGGCGATGAGTAGAGTATCGATGGTGTCTGTGCTGCTGCTCTCTGGGGTGTTGGCTCTTCCCACCCCAGAGTGCACACCGTATAGAGTATGTTGTGAAGAGAGAGAATCCCCCTTTAGCCAGTGCTGCTGCTCTCTGGGGTTTTGGCTCTTCCCATCCCAGAGTGCACACCGTATAGAGTATGTTGTGAAGAGAGAGAATTCCCCTTTATCCAGTGCTGCTGCTCTCTGGGGTGTTGGCTCTTCCCACCCCAGAGTGCACACCGTATAGAGTATGTTGTGAAGAGAGAGAATTCCCCTTTATCCAGTCCTCGTGTGCCTGTGAATGCATTTATTTTTTCGGTGGGTGGAGGACAGACTCCACGCCCAATTCGAAATAGGGACTCGGGAGGTGGTACTTGATTCTCGGTACCTGACCATGGTTATCAATGGTCAGGTACACCCACGGCAAGGTAAGAGTACACACTCTCTCTCTCTCTCTCTCTTGTTTATAATGAATATTTTTTTTGTAATAGATATTTCTGGACAACTGGGTCAATTATGGGATTGATAGTTGTCAGATCTCTCTTCCTTTCTCTTTCATGTTTGTAATAAATAATTTGTTGTGGATATTTCTGGACAACCAGATCAAGAGATTAATAGTAGTAAGATCTCTTTCTCGATTCTTTCTCTCTCTCTCTCTCTCTTGGGTGTATGTGTGTGTGTGTGGGGGGGTCTATCGTAAATATTTAATAAACAATTTACTCTTTCCTTTTAGAAACACCCATCCAGCCTCAAGCTACTACAGGTGGAAGGTTAATATGATTATTTTTTTTTTATTATTTAATACATCATTATTATACTTTAAGTCATACTATTTGTGTAACACATGAAATTACTTTTATTTTATTTTTTTTAACTAGAAGACTCCGGGACAACTGGTGTGGTCTTGACCTCCAATAGGATGGCTTCGATCACCTATGGTAGGTATTGTTTCTCTCTTCTTTCACCCCACCCCTTCACTCTTCTATTTTTTCTAAATGTGTATGTCTTTTTTTCAGGTGAGGGCAAGACCACCACGACCACCAAGAGCTATGAAGTGATGACAGGTATTACTATTTATATTCTAATATTCCTAATACAAACATCTTTTACATGTTGATATTTTTAATATTTTAACCCCCTTCCACGCAGTTACGCATTTTTAAGGCATATACCATTTCCTATTTCTAACTCAAAATCACGCATATACCGTTTCCCCGCAATCACGCATTTTCACGCACTTTAAAAAGTTCCTTACTTTTATGACTATTTCCTTCTATTTTATACTTGCAAAAATCCCATCAAATAAGAAAAGTTATTTTTGTATTGAAATAAAGCGTAATAATATTATAAATGCTAAGCTTCAGAGAAACGTGTACCACGCTAAAAAGTGCTTGCGGGGAAATGGTAAATTTCTGTTTCCATGACGTGAACATTCAGTGTATATTGCATAACAGTACAGCAAGTTGTAAAGTGTTAATGAGTTTTTTATCTCTCTCCAGGGGAAATCACAATACCCACTGCAGCTGTTGTTGTTATTACCGGTAAGTTTCTTTCTTTTTGTTAGTATATTTTCACTTATATTCAATGTGTTTTTCTTTAAAAATATTATTTACTAAAAGTCATCCTTTTTTTCAACAGAAAAACCCAGAGACTAAAATAGATTTGTATATTTTAGTTTATTATCCTTGTTTATTATACCCTTGATAGTGCCTGGCTTCCAGCTTTTTAGACATTATAAACGCACGCATTATCGTTATACAAGCTCTGATTGTATAGAATCCAGTAATGTATATATGTCAACTACTACTACAGTTTAACTTTTCATATAGCTCTAGTCCCTCCTTATATTCTCATTGCATTTCTTTTTCACTTTTCTTGTAGGTGTTGTGACCTTCCTGTTTGTGTTGTTTATATATCTCTGTCTTCGTTATCGTCGTTTTTGTTGTCGTCATCGTCCTAATCGCTCTTCTTCTTCCTAGTTACAGGCGCAACATTTGCCTATGGCTTTGCAGGAGGAAAGCGATTCGATGTTGTCGGCTGAAATTGTCTTTGATAGAGAGAAGTCGGAGTAAATCTCCCCAACCCCCTTGATTTATTTTTGTAATTGTAACCGTTTTTTATACATACATATATCTTGCCTTCGTCATGTACATAACAGATTTTTTAATGCCAGTTGTATGTGTTGTTGTATTTTTCTCTATAAATGTATGCATTAATAATTTTGGTTCAAATGCCCCGCCCCCCATTTACTTCTGTATGTCCAGGTATCATGACTTTTCCCCTGTTTTTGTATATATTTATTTTTTTTTACTTTTATAGTTCTTGTCCTGTTCATGTCCATGTTTTATATGTTTGGTGTTCGTGAGGAGGAGGCGGAGGAAGTCACAGTTGTGTATATATCTATGTTTTTGTTTTTTTTTTTTACTTTTATAGTTCTTGTCCTGTTCATGTCCATGTTTTATATGTTTTGTGTTCGTGAGGAAGAGGAGGAGGCGGAGGAGAGAAGGCCCCGCAAGAATCCACGGATGCCGACCTGTGCCAGCACCCGTGTTCTGCGTTCGGCCAGAAATCGATGATGAAAAAACATTAACATTCATTAATTCATTATTATTCATATCTTCATATTCATTATTCATATTTCTAATAATTTTATTAGAATTTTGTCATATTTTTCCTCTGTATTCGGACCTTCTGTTGATTCCTTATTAACTGTCAAATCTCTTTAAAATCGCTGATATTAACAAGCATTCTCTGTAAGCAGCAAAAAAACTTGGAAACGACATGGTATAATTTGAGTTTTTGCAGGATCTTATGAATATTAATGAGAAGTAAATCACGTGGGAGCAACCTCATGAATAAACTGCACGTCATTTCTCCATATGTGATAAGGTTGAAACACTGTTCTGAGAAAGTGCATAAAGAGACTGTTTACAATCAACTCCCAATTAAATGAAAACTCTTTGGTCTTGCCCTCATTTGAGTTTCAGCTGTCATGACATAGAGATACCAAGAATTCATGAATTAGCAAAAGTTAAAGTAGTTGTATAAGATAAAAATATGGGAAAAATTGCCAAACAAGTCATTCCAGGGGCAGATAATCAATTATATAAATTTCATGTCATTCATGCTAGAGATAGATTCATTAATAGATTATCAATATCTCACAAAACAGAAGGTGACCTTAAAAATCTTTCCAAGTGTTTGTTTTTTCCAAATTAAAATTAGCTTTTGACAGATCTTTAGGTCATTTGACAGCCTCTACACCTGAGACCTTCATGGCGTATTACAACAAGAATTGGGAAAGCAACATCAGGTACAGTATTGGGCATACTACAAAACACTTAATCAAATTAATTTGGGAAACAGAACAAATAATAAAATCGAGTCTCATAATCAAAAGATGAAAGATGTTCTGAAGCGATGAATCTTCCTGAAGTAGTTAAGAACATCATACTACTGCACACTGGAAGTGTACATAAAATGGCCCACAAAAAGTTTAACCACAAATTCAAAACAGCATATCACCTAGGAGATAATGATGTTAAAGATGATATTGTAAAGCAGATAACACCTTGTGCAGCAGAAGTTTGTTTCAGCACTTCTAGGAAAGAGGAATGTGTTTGCCTTGTAGACATCTATTTTACAACATTATTGAACAAGGCGAGAGTCTGTTTCATATTGAAGATTTTGGAGAAAATGGCATCTGGCATACCAGAAAGGATATGCACACGCAGAAAGCGGCTAAGAATAAAACATAAACAGAGTAAACTATTTTTGAGAAAAAGGTTAGAGAAGAATCCTTAAACAAAAGTGCAGATTTTTAAAGAAATGATGGCCCTCTGTATATCATTGGCTGATTCTGCTTCTTCCCTGGGGACAAGTTAGTTTAATGAAAAGATGGATGCTAAAGCTACAATTCATGACGCATGGCTAAGTAGGAAGAAGTGATATTTAAGACAGGTGAAGATCTAGATGAACCATATCCGTTTTTAGAAACCAAAACACCTATGATGTCTCCGTCTCTAACATGCAGTAATAATATGGTTCCCTCCCCTTATTCAAATAAGAGTACAAGAAATTAACCTATTTATTCAAACAGAAAATGTAGGTCAAATTCAGCATCCGAAGCAAGTCTGGTAGTGTACATCTTCAGATGTATGATCCATGCAAGTTTAATCAACATAGGACTTAGAGTAATTTAAAAATGAGACCTGCACCAAAACGCAACCGGAAAATGTAGGTCAGATTCAGCATCCAAAGCAAGTCTGGTAGTGTACATCCTTAGAATGTATCATCAATGCAAGTTTGGTCAACATAAAGCTTAAAGTTACATGGAAATGAGACCTGCACCAAAACATTAATTTGTTCCCTCAACCGGAAAATGTAGGTCAGATTCAGCATCCAAAGCAATCCTGGTAATAAGCATATTTAGATGTACCATCCATGCAAGTTTGGTCAACATAGAACAACAGCTTGAAAACGTACGACTTTTCTTCTTTATTCACAACAATGTCCCACGAAAAATTAAAATCCAGGCTTTTTAGTATCATTGACAGCTGCTTCTTCAACAAGCATTCTGAGAGTATTGCATAAGCAATACATGTCCCCTACCGGGTTCCCCTTTTTCTTCGGGATGTCTTTTAATAATATGCAAAAGTCATGTCCAAGGTAAAACTGAAAGATTTTCATGTTGTAATTGCCTTAAAATAAAATAATCCAAATTAAGTCGAAAAATCAACTCATTTCTCGATCTTCTTTTCCTCTCTCCATATTTTTGTCGACAATCGGAAGTTAGCACAGTTCGATCCTGATCATAAATAAGCGACTATGAAAAATATATAAAATGCCATAAATCTGTCAAAAATGAATTAAGCGAAGCGAAATTCAAACTTGATCTGTAACTCATTAAGATACACTCACATACCAAAATTCAGCTCAATATCTTCAAGCGTGTAGGAAAAAAAAGTGCGGGAAACCAAGTCGGACAGAAGGATATGGAAATAACGAACAGTATTCAATCTCAACGTCCATTAAACAAATATACAAAATTAGAGCAGAGCAAACACGGACCTCCGAAACATCAGAGGTGGGATCAGGTGCCATGGAGGAGTGAGCATCCCCTGCCGACCGGTCACACCCGCCGTGTGCTCCTTGTCATAATCAGGAAATAACGGGAAAAATCCGTGGTCAATTCAGTGTATAAATAATGGATTAACAATTGGTATGACAAACGTCAGTCAGCATTTCATTCAATGATAAATTGTATTTGCTGACAAGGTCATTGTATCGACCATAGAATTTACGAAATGATGACATTAAAGGAGACTGTTGATATTCTTGTTTCATCAACTTGCTTGTCAATAATTTACCTCGTTTAAGAAATTGTTCATACGTAGAGCATGCTCTTGCGTATCGAATCAACTGAGATATAAATACTCCGTATGCAGGTGATGAAGGTATATTGCTGCATAAGTAAGGGAAGTTGACGATAGAAAAGTTAAAGTCATCACTGACGGGGAAAGACACCGGTAGGGGACAAACAAGCATTCTGAGAGAATAAGCAACACATGTCCACTACCATATTCTCCTTTTTGTTCAGGATGTCATTTAATAATGTGCAAAAGTCATATCCAAGGTAAAACTAAATGCCTTAAAAGTAATAAAATAATCCACATTAAGACGAAAATTCAACTCATTTTTCCATCGTCTTTTCCTCGCTTCATGATTTTGTCGACAATCGGAAGTTAGCGCAGTTCGAAACCGATCTTAATAAACTCATAGGCACTCCCCATCTTAATTATAGTATTGTAGAGATTTTTTTTAACAATTAAGATGGGGAGTGCCTATGAAAAAACTGTTGAATCCTTCATTAGTTAAATCATTCCACTATTGTACTTCATGCAAGTAATTAGATAATTCATACGAAGAATAGTCTTGATTTGTGATAACAATTGTTTGTTAAAGTAATACAAAGGCAAAAACAATGCATTTTGACAATGCTGTTTTAAGGACTTGGTTTTCTAGAAATTAATTTAGCCAAATTGTCAAGCTAATTAAAATTCCAAATTTTTAAGGCCCAATCCCCCAGTCGCAGATTACTGACAGAAAACCCACACTTTAATCATACCGATTGAAAATTGATTTGAACTATTAAGTTTTTTTTTTTGTAAGTTTCGACTAGTAATTTTATGATACGGACTAGTGAAATTGACTAGCTAAATATTTTTTGGACCAGTGAATGTCAAAGAAAAATTTAACCCCTGGTCCTGGTTAAAACGTCCCCTGAATTTGGTTGAAGGGCCTCCTGATTTTGGTCAAAACACCCCTTATAAAATTTTACAGTAAAATGATATTACAAAACCGCCCCCAAATAATGGTCCAAACTTCCCCTAAATTTAGTCAATGCGGCCCTTAAGTTTGGCCAAAGCACCCCTTACAGTTTTTTTTTGTAGAAGAAAAATCGTCTTGGAATCGCCCCAAGCAATGGTCAAAACGTCCCTGATTTTTGTCGAAGCTTCCCATGATTTTGGTCAAGCCGCCCCCTTATATATTTTCACACACACATGTAACAGAATAAAACTCTTTTGTATTAATAATTTAATCATTGTTTGGCATACATTTTCACAAACCTGTTACGGAATAAATCTGTTCTGTATTTATACTATCATTATTTGGAAGATACCTGATTACTCTTTAAGGGGTGCTTTGACCAAAATCATGGACACATTTTGACCATTGTTTGCAAGGAG